AGGGATCTGTAATTTGTATTTTTTTTCCTTCTTCTGTCAACTCTTTCCAGGAGATTTCGAGTTCTATGAAGATGGTGATGAAGTAGAATTTGAGACTATTTTCCGCTCGGCATTTGGTGGGACCCGGGGCTTCTTTTGGTCCTTCACGATTGATGATGGACCACATTATAGAAATTCATCAAGTTACTCTAGCAACTATAGGACTTCTAGGGGTCGTAAATATCAGTATGGAGAAGACTATGATTCATCATCTGATTATGAGAGTCCTATGGTAGACATGAGGTCTGATAGGGTTGCTCTGGGGCTAGCTGCATCCGGCCCTTTGAATGTAGAAGACGTTAAAAATGCGTGAGTTACTCTTCGGTTTATTCATTTATATTGTTGTCCTTTCTTTATTTTCTTTTCGTTATGGGGACTTTTTCTATGATCCTATAAAAAATTATTCTTCCAGATATCGAGCATGTGCATTGAAATGGCATCCAGATCGACACCAGGGTTCTTCCAAGGTAACTCTTTAATTTTCTTTTGTTTTTTCTGAAATTAGTAATTCCTGTATGTTTTATCAGAAAACATCTTTGAGGGTCGCTATTCTTGTGTATTATATTCACGAGCTGCACAGGGAATGTTTGCAATCACTTGAAAAGGTGATTTTTGATGTCTTGAAATGTGAACCTGTGCTTACCCTGAATTTAATTCAAATTTGCTTTAGAACTCAGTCCTCAGATAACTCAAATTACTAGTACATCGCCTTTATAAATTATGCACTAAAAACCTTCTTTCCAAACTTCTTCATAACATATTCAACTTTTGTCTTCAATGTACAAATTACAAACATAGCCCACTTCTGATTCTCTAACCAAAACAATTTCTCCTTAAAAAGCACAAGCCTTCAATTCTCGTTATCTCTTCTCTAAATTGAGCTCTACAAAATTAATGTGTTGCAAAGTAAACGTGATGCTGTCTACAGGTTGTTGCCGAGGAGAAATTCAAAGCGTGCAGTGCGGCTTATCAGTCTTTGTGTGATAAACTTGGTCTTTTGTCCTGACGTGATGGTTTTGCAGGAGAAAAAGCTGATTAAATCAGTCTATCTATACATTTTCTGTAGGAATCTGTAGTAATAGATGCTGCAAGTTGAAGAATTGCAGCTTTTAAATGAAGTTACTCGTGTATTTGAGGATTTGTAGCGACTTTCTCCGCTGTCTTTGCCCTCTGACCTTAGGACGAGATTGGTGACGAAGCAGAACTGGTTTAGATTGGATCTTGAGTTAAAGTGAGTTATTGAATAAGTTAATTGAGTGGAATGTTGAGTTTGTAGTTTAATAAAATTTTAAATGTGAGTTATTGAATAAGTTAATTGAGTGGAATGTTGAGTTTGTAGTTAAATAAAATTTTAAATGTAATGATTAAAATTGATGAAATGTAAAAATAAGAGATATATTATTGGAATTGATAGGTAGCTAGACATATGTGATTAGATGAATAAGAATTAAAATTAATGTGATGTGTGAGGATGATTGATTGATATTATTTAATTATATTAATAATATTTTAAAATGTTTAAAATGTAAAAGGGCAAACTATCACCAACACCTAAGGCCCTGATTGATTGTGGGATATTTTAGTGACTTTTGACTAGATAAAATCTAACTCAAATTAATCATTTTTTATATTTTAATCAAGTAATTTTTTAAACTTAAATTTAACTCAAATAAATCATTCTTAATATTGTCAATATAATTAAATAATACAAATCAAACAATCTCAATATTATTAATATAATTAAATAATATAAATCAAACATTCTTACACAACACGTCAATTTTAATTTCTTATTCATCAATTTCCTTAATTTTAACAACTTGTCATTTCTCTCCTAGTTTTACATCAAATTAAATTCAACTATTTTATTTTAAATATTATTTTAATACAAGTTCAAAATTTCACTTAAACTTAACACAATTCCAATTATCCAACAAATTCTATTCAAATCAAAGCAACTTGTATCAAATCATCCCCAACTCTTATTTTTTCCTAGTAAAGGAAAAAAACAAGTAGAAAAAGAATCAACCCTCACATGACAATCAAACCAATAATTTTATTTAGCATTGGAAATGAACAAACAAGAAGCACCACTACTAAAGGGCAACGTACTATGCATCAACTTCGAGCAAGTCAACTACTTTGGTGGCATAAAA